GGGGGGGGTGCATGGGCTTGCCAAACGACAACATGGGCTAATCACCTACATTGTTTGAGCAAAATGACCCATCAACATGCAACCACAAATATCATAAAGAGATAATCCCTTTACGTATACGTCGGTTTAAATAAGAAATAAAGCCTCCAGGATTTCAAACCAAATGTGCCCAAAGGGTCTGAAGGATCATAACCTTCCCCTGAAAATTTAGCACATACGAGTTTAGGGAGCCTCCAGGTGATGACCTCGGCTCACCTTAGGTGACTGCAAAAGAGAGGCAACTGGCTACTCAGTTAGGAGTCAAAAGAAAGTGTCACACCCCGGCTGTTGGTGAAAACATGGGGTGGTGTAACGTCATTTCTCGTATCATAGTTATCAACATCCTGAAAACCCATGCATTTTAAAATACGTCAACATAAAGTTGGTGAGTTCACAGGTTTTGACTCCATATAAAAATAATACATTTTCCAAGTTCAAAAAAATATAGTTTTGAAAGTATTATTTTGACTTTCCAACGTTTAGTATATATATCCTAGGTATAAAAGTTTACTTACCAAATAAGTAGTTTACCTATAAGTCTCATATACTATGAATATAAGTGTTTGTAATTCCATACAAAAGAAAGTTGCTACGTATAAATCTTATTTCAATTCTATACGAGTAAAACCGCTACATATAAATCTATTTCAATTCTATACGAGTATGTGTGTTAGGTATAATTATCTACTTAATATACAAGTAGTGTACCTACCAGTTTCTTGTACCTAGAGTATAAGTGTTTGAGAAACTTATACTTAACATTAATACTTGTATAACGACAAAGTATAATGCTTTTAAAAATTTGCTACCATGAGTCCGTAACAGCGACTATAAGACTAGTTTCAAACCTCTGCTTGATGCTACAAGTATCGCATCTTGAGATAAGTTTCACACGCTTCATCAACGTCGGAACAATAAACAAACAAAAGGACAGTTCGTCGCTCGTACATGGTTTTGTTGTAGCTAGAAACCACGAGTGGGGTTGTCAACCCGTATCTTATTCATACACGACTTCCTCACTCACACGGGATTAACGGTTACAGGTTAGAGGACTTTTCTTAAGATTTCCAATCTTGGTTGATGAATACAATAGCTCATGTAGACTAGTCGAGTTCCGTTATTTCTAGTAGTAAAATCATATTCATGTCTAAAACCCTAGGTTATTAGACTATGCTTTTAACATTACTCCTAATATTTATAATACTTAGGTAGTACAACAACTATAATTAGAACTAAAACCAGTTTTTTTTTTTTTTTTTTTTTTTTTTTTTTTTTTGACATAAAACCAATAATAGCAACATATAACATTCCTAGTTTTATCTTGACATAAAACTAACAATAACAACATATAACATACCATGTTTTATCTTGACATAAAACCAATAATAGCAACATACTTTATAACTTAACTGATAGAACTTCCGAATCTAACTTCGGAACTATATCGCACACAAAATATGTATACAATCCTAAGTATAACTCAAGATCTACATTAGTATACTACTATGACAATAACATGCTAACAAGTTTATGATAGTTGTATATTTTCATATACGAAATAACTATATCCCGGTTATTATAACTATCTACGTTGATACTAATATACTATCATTTAGACATAATAATAACATATATACAATATTTAGCATGCGTTTTCCCCCGAAAATATTAGAAAGTGGGTCCGTAAAACTCACCTTAATATCGTGTTTCGATAGAATCTAACTGAAAACAGTCAGCAGTTCGCGATCACTGGGCTTGGGAAGCGAAACACCTTCAGCAAACGAGAGAGAAAGAAAGTAGAAATGGTGTAATGAGCCTTGGGGTTGAAATGGCTATTTATAGGATGATTTTTGGCCCTCACGACGTGAGAAATGATAAGTTCACATCGTGAGTTATGTCAAGAGTCATCCCGTTGCTTTAACGCGTGTTTTCTAGCCTTGAATAGTGTCCTGCAGCGTCCTTACGTCGTGAGAAAAGCTAGCTCATGTCGTGAGCTTTTGGGTTATTGTTCCTTAGACTTCTAGATACAAAATGAGGCGGTTTGACTCCTCATGTCGTGATTTTTATGCTCACGTTGTGAGTCCAGTCATATTAGGGTTTCTGACACGTGTCGTGCACTCTGATAGCTGTAACTTCGGAAGGTCGTAACTTTTGCATATGAACTCCGTTTTTGACGTTCTTTATATCCACGCATAGGTATTTACGAGCACTAGAACTCTCATTTAGACTCAAATAGCTAATTCTAAGACTATTTTAAATTCATTACATTATAGAGATTTTATAGTGTTCGGTTTATCATAACTTCTTCATGCAAAGTCATATTTAGATGTTCTCTATATTTTTGGTATCGTATGGGCGTATACTTTGATTTATACCATAAAGTATGTATGAAAGTTCATATTTATATTAGAATTATCATGAAATACATAGTGATTTTACTACAGTACTAGTTTAACAAAATCACATTACATGATTGGTATAATCACATGTGATTGTCATTGACCTATTTTGACTAGTGTTACATTCTCCCCCCGTTGATAAAATTTCGTCCCGAAATTTATTTTTAACTAGATACCACCGAAGGGTACTAGATAGCTTCCCTTCTTCCTGTTGCAATTGACATACCACAACCTCACTTCCTTGACTCCTTAACATTGGACATTCCTTCTTGATATGTCCAATTTCACCACACTTAAAACACGCTCTTCCTCCATCATAGTCGGTTCCAGTGTTTGTATCTTGATTTCCTGTTGTAGTTGTTGTGCTCCTATAGTAATTGGCAATGTGTCCCTTTTTTTTGCACTTCATGCAAATATAACAGTCACCTGCATGCTGATGGTTACATTGACTGCACCATGAACAATTACCTAGGTGATGGCGATTACACTGAGTGCACCATGGGAGTTTTCCAACATACTTCCTTGGTTGCATGGGTATTGTTGTTGTGGCTTCATAATTAGTTGCCACATATTGGCTCCTTAGATGGTTGTATGGGATTCTTCCCATTAAATTTGCGCTTGTTCGTTCCAGATTCAGGAGACTCAGCTATAAATCCTACTTGGATTTCTGTTCTGGTTAGCTGATGAGCTATACACTTTGCACTGTCATATGTTGTAGGCTTTGATGCAATCACCATTCCTTTGATTTGTGATGCTATACCCCAGATATATCGCTCAATCTTCTTGTATTATGGGGTTACAAGTGTCGGACACATCACCGCAAGATCATTGAATCTAGCGGTATAAGCATTTATCTCTAATGGTATCTAGTACACTTGGGTGGTATCTAGTTAAAAATAAATTCCGGGACGAAATTTTATCAATGGGGGGAGAATGTAACACTAGTCAAAATAGGTCAATAACAATCACATGTGATTATACCAATCATGTAATGTGATTTTGTTAAACTAGTAATGTAGTAAAATCATTATGTATTTCATGATAATTCTAATATAAATATGAACTTTCATACATACTTTATGGTATAAATAAAAGTATACATCCATACGATTCCAAAAATATAGAGAACATCTAAATATGACTTTGCATGAAGAAGTTATGATAAACCGAACACTATAAAATCTCTATAACGTAAGGAATTTAAAATAGGCTTAGAATTAGCTATTTGAGTCTAAAAGAGAGTTGTAGTGCTCGTAAATACCTACGAATGGATATAAAGAATGTCTAAAATGGAGTTCGTATGCAAAAGTTACGATCTTTTGAAGTTACAGCTGTCTGAGTGCACGACACATGTCAGAAACCCTAATCTAACTGGACTCACGATGTGAGCATAAAAACTCACGACTTGAGGAGTCAAACCGCCTCATTTTGCATCTAGAATTCTACAGAATGATAACCCAAAAGCTCACGACATGAGCTAGCTTTTCTCACGATGTGAGGACGCTGCAGGACATTATTCAAGGCTAGAAAACACGCATTAAAGCTACGAGATGACTCTTGCCATAACTCACGACGTGAACCTATCATTTCTCACATCGTGAGGGCAAAAAATCAGCTTATAAATAGCCATTTCGACCCCAAGGCTCATTACACCATTTCTACTTTCTTTCTCTCTCGTTTGCTGAAGCCGTTTCGCTTCCCGAGCCCGATGATCGCGAACAGCTGACTATTTTCAGTTAGATTCTATCGAAACACGATATTAAGGTGAGTTTCACAGCCCCACATTCTAATATTTTCTAGGGGAAATGCATGCTATATATATATATATATGTTATTATTATGTCTATATGATAGTATATCAATATTAACGTAGATAATTATAATAACCGGATATAGTTATTTCGTATTTGAAAGTATACAACTATCGTAAAGTTGTTAGCATGTTATTGTTATAGTAGTATACTAATGTAGATATTGATTTATACTTAGGATTCTATATATATGTTGTGTGCGATATAGTTCCAAAGTTATACTCGGAACTTTTATATATTTTAATTGATACGTATGTTGTTATTGTTGGTTTTATGTCAAGATAAAACCCGATATGTGATATCACTACTAAAAAACAGCCCTTTAATGACGCGCAAACAATGACACTCGCTGATAGAGGACGCGCATTTGTGCGTGCACTAAAAATAATGCCATCTCTCTTAAAATTTAAAGAATTCAGATCACACATTTTTGCATGCTCTGAAATTAGTGTTTTAAAAAAATACGGAGGGCACCTATAATAAAATGTATGTCGTCTAAGGCTATCGCTTTATAAATTTTAATAGTCAGGAGTGTTCCATCTGGAGGGAAAAATGAAATCCCAATTACTTAAAAACCCCGCCTTCCTTTTTTAGGGCTTTTTGTCAAGAACTTGCCCAACCTTCCTCTACTGCACGTTCTCTCTTCTACATCTCCACCGGCCGAACACTCTCTGCTTCCCTTCTCTTTGCAAATTCTAAGTCGCCGCCTTCACCATTGAACCTAAGTATCTGAGAGTCTAGAGTACGACTAATGAATTCTGATCACCAACGACTCTATAATAATTCTTTCTCATACTCAAACCCTAGATCTCGCCTCCTTCTATCCTACATCTTTATGGCGACACGGCTCAACAGAAACTCCACCACATCTAACGGAAGGTATGATCACTATATCTCATCATTATTTAGGTGATTCAAATGGATGCGACGATATCGTTTCCATTACAATCATCAAGGTTTTCCCTCTTCAAGAGTTTCCCTTGTCCTTTTTTTTCTTCATTTAAATGCTTATGAATCTCCATTGGGGCCTTTGATTTGGGGATGCTATGGTGTCTCAGTTTCTCATTCCAAAACAAATCGATATCTAGATTTCCCATTCTTTCTCGTTCCTATCTCCCTTTGGCACTTACCGATTCTTCTCCCTTCCTCGAGACAAATGTCGGTCACCTAAACTCAAATCCTCTAAGGATACCTGCTTTGATTCATTCCCAAAAATCAAAATATCTCGTTGTCTATCCCACAGTTTATCGATTCAGAATTTTGGGAGACAGAATTGTGCCTCATTTGTGGTTCGTGGCCTACACTACTGCTTCACCGGCATGCTCCACTCTTATATGCCCTAGCTTGTCCATCCTCCACCACCTCCTTCATATGGTTATGTTTATGAATGTATGTTATTCTTGATTCAACACATTCTATGGAAGCTAAATGCAATTTTAACCTATATAGTTTTGAAGGAATACAATTTTGGAGGTTATTGAAATATTTACGTTTTTTTTTTTTGTAAAATTTTACATTTTCTGATAGGGATTTTTATTTGGGTTTGGTTTCTTGAAGGTTTTCATGGTTCCATGGCTCCCATTATTTATGTTATTCGATCATTACAACTTGTTTAAAAAGATCAAGATTATAACAGGTGCTATTTGTTTTTGACTTAAGGGCTGTTTCTTTTGGGACTGTTTACAAGGGCTATATTGATGAGAATATTCGGGTTGTCTCAAATCTCTTCCTTTTGTTAGTAAGGTTCTAAACAAGGAAGGTCTTCAAGGCCACAAAGAATGGCTTGTAATCTCCTCTAGTTCTCTATCCATGTAGCAACTAGTTCTTTGTTTTGTTTTATCTTCCTTATACCATTAATCCATATCTGTAATGGCGTTTTGTGTTGTAGACTGAAGTTAATTTCCTTGTTCAGCTCAGACATCCCAATTTGGTGAAATTGATTGGGTATTGCTATGAAGATAACCACAGATTGCTTGTTTATGAGTTCATGTTTTGAGGAAGCCTTGAAAATCACCTCTTTCGAAGTATGCAACTTCCTTCCATATATATCCTTTTTTTCTTTATGTCAAACGTCTCAAACCCCCCTTTTTCCTAACTTCAATACTCTACATAACAAATAGTATATGGCATCTTCAACCATGATAGTTGTAATACCAACTTAAATACCAACAATGATCATAACAAGACTTTCTTGGTAACTGTATTAGAAATATTAGTGATTTAGTGGTAATTGTAAGAGGGAGAGGAAGGGTGACAATCCCTTCATTATGTTTTAGCAGCTAGGTCAAAATTTTTTATTATATCTGACTTGTTCTGTCTTTCTTGCCCTTTTAACAGTTCAATAGTGCTTCATCATTTTGCCATGTTTGTACTTTGATCACAATTATGTCAAAGCTAATACTGATCTAGCATTGTTTCATTATTGTAAATATTTGTAAGGACATAGGGTTGTTGATAGCTTAGTGTGTGGGAAACGTGCTTATATATTTATGTTAATACAAATAAGATTAACAAAGAGTAAAGACATTAAAAATTTATAAATAACTATTTTACCCTTCCTGACATTCTAAATAACTAAAAACTTGTGAAAGAACACCATATTTTGTGTACTGTTAACTTATTTTTGAAATCCTCATAAACAAGTGCGCCATTATCATGGCCAACAAGACTGATGATTTGTTTTGGGGCAGCAAAAGGCTTAGCCTTCCTTCATAATGCTGAATGACTAGTAATCTATCAAGACTTAAAGACTTCCAACAATTGCAAATGAATAGAAGAAAACTGGTATGTTACTGTTTTATGAATTATTGAAGGTTGTTATTGTTTTTTTTAGATGATTAATTAGGTTAAATCTTATTACTTTGCTTTATTATAAAAAGTTAAACTTTGATGTTATAATAATCAGAGCACGGGGAAACCATGAATTGACTAAATGTACAATAAAATATAGAGTGCATAATAGAGATTAGATATTAATATTGATGTACTTGTGTGTGATTGATTTCAGGAGGTAGAAATACAATGCATGGGCATAAAAGTGGTATGGATGTTCTGCTGGATCTATTGTCAAGCGGGTCACCACCTGCTCCTGCTTCTGCTACTCAAAAAAGCTGATGTACATCTGAACTCTTATCCTTGACTCAACTTAATAATAATAATAATAATAATAATAATAATAATAATAATAATAATAATAATAATAATAATAATAATAATAATAATAAACCCTCACCCTCACCTTTTAGTGCTTTGGATACTCTTTCATCACCTATAGCAACACCTGGTGCCCTATGATGGATATATTAGACGGATTCGGTCCAAATCCTACACCACCACCACCACCACCTAGTAAGTATATTATTATTATTTTATTATTTTTTCGATCCAGGTAAATGATGCTTACAAAATAACAGCACACTTGGGGAACAGCTAGGAAAAAATAAATTAAGTTTACGTGACTCGATCTTGTTCATTTTACTCTTACATTCCAAAAAACAAATTTCACAATATCCATCAACTTTAAGCCAATGGGAGGGGAAAAAAGGTAAAAGGGTATAAGATTTTATTTTGATGCATGAACATTGAATAGGATAAGAGGACAATGGGCGGACATATCCACCAATTGTTGCATTAGACGTTGGTGCATTGAGCCTAATGTTCAACTTGTCTAAGCAACTTGGAAGTCCATAGATAACTTTAATTAAAGCAAAATTCACAAACAAGTCTTCCCAGGTCTATACAAATTTCATCTTCCATGCAGCAGTGCCCAAGGTAAAAACTATATCTGCTCCCTCCCTCCATATATATATATATACACCTGGTTTGGTTTCTTGCAAATTTTGTCCTTATTTGAGACTTTTTATAATGCTTTTGCTCCTTTGTCCAAGTACAATGGCTTTTGGTACCAAAATTGCAAAAATCAGCTAAGGTCCCAAATTGAAATTTTATTTTCTAACTTATTGTCTCATTTACAATCCACACACACATACACAGTTCATACAACTGCATTTAGAGCCTGCTAGCAGTAATACTCTTCCTGGAAATGCCAGTGGTTCTATAACACAGAAATTACGAGTCACCAAAAATCAACATTGCAAGGTATTTATTTATTTATTTATTTTTAATATTCAATATAGAATACTACTCTCTTGTTTTATCACCCAACTAACTCATGAATGTTGTTTTAAGCAGAAATCAGTTGTGATGCACATACGAATAAGCTACAAGTTGAACAATAAAGATATTTTGGAGGAAGGGCAAATCAGTAACTTCCCTCGCAACTTGTTAATCATCTCTCTCTCTTTCTCTCTCTCTCTCTCTCTCTCTATTCCTACTTGTTTTTGGTTTTTGGTGCAGGTGAGTCATTGTGCATATGCATATAATGTAATTATGTGTTGTGGTGCAGGTGAGTCAGTATACAACATAAGGGGTTGAAAGAGCGAGAGATGGCATCATAGAGGTTGCAACTTTGAGCGAGAGGTTTGTGCTAGGCACCAGTGTTAGTAGAAGAGTGGCTACTGCAGCTTCTTCTGCTGTAAGCCTTTTTCAATATTTGTACACTATATATTAGCATATGTATCACGGAGGTGGCGGTAGAGCTTCCGGAAGACCTAGAAGTGCTCTGGTCTCCATATCTTCCATCATTGCTTCTAGATGCTCGTATTTGTTTCCTAGGAATGCCTATAAGAAATAGTAATGTGTTTTTTTTTTTTTTTTTAATTCTTTATTTTTATAATGAATTTAAGTATAATTTTGGTTGTTGTAGATTGTTCCTGAAGTGACTGAGCTTCTTTTTGCTCAATTTATGTGGTTGGATTATGATAATCCACCTAATCCTATTTATCTTTACATTAATTCATCCGGAACACAGGTGAATTTTTTGTTTTTTTTGTTTCTTTTAAGGTTAAATTACTAAATACAAGAAATAAGTCAATAAAGAATTTGATTTTTTTTCTTTTGTAGAATGACAAAATGGAGACAGTGGGGTCTGAAACAGAAGCATACACCATTGCTGACATCATGGCTGTAAGCAATTAAAATCATTCATTTTATCATTTTAAGGTTATTTACTGATGTGATTTATTAATTTCTGAAATTACCCTCAAGTACTACAAGTCAGAGGTGTATACAGTTAACATCGGGATGGCATTTGGTCAATTATCATTCCTCTCATATGCTCTTAACATTGGTTGCATTCAAGAAATAACAACATACTTTCATCAACTTATTTACAATATCATTGTACTTTTGTTTTCTTAAACTCTCCGTATTACAAGTTTGAAAAATCTACCTAGTTATAGGTATGCCATTGAAATATAAAACAACTTTCTCTATGATACGTGAGCAAATATTCATGTGATTGATTACTTGACATTTATATTTATTTCTTTTCTTGTATTAGGTACAAAGTACGATTTGGATTATAAATCTCCTAATAGATCAGGACAAAACTTCCAGTCAGGAGAAGATATGGAAGCCTTTCTTTTTTGTTTAACTTTTCTTCAGAAGATATGTAAGCCTTTCTGTTCTGATTAACTTTATATTCACCATTGTTAATTGATCTTTTAGATTGCAGCTTCCATGTCATCGTACTTCAGGTGTTTAGTTACTTTTTTTTTCTATTCAATGAGAAATATTTTTTCACTGTGTGGTTTAATGGAAGATGAAATCAAGCTTTGCAATTCACTGATGAGGACTGGAAAGAACTGAATGACATTAGTTATTGGATACAAGGAAGATGACCAGGGGGTGTATTTCACATGAAACATAATTATGCTTCAAAAATTACTGAAGCTCATGAGTTTGTTGCTGAGTTATCATGTCATGTGAATCAGAGGAATCAAAGACAAACTGTTGCAGGGGGCATTAATTTATTGGTAAACACTTTTGGCTCTGTTTGATTGATAGCTATTGCTATATAGCAAATGTTAATCTTAATCTTTGTGTTTTTTGTTCATAGATAACAAACACCAATTTCTTTCAAACAACAGAAGATCTAGAGTTTAATTGGATGATTGAAGGTGATGGATGTAAACTTGATTATGGAACTCTCAGTCTACCAACATTAGAGTTTAATTGGGCGATTGAAGGTGATTTTGGTTCTTGAAACGAGACTCAAGATATCATATTTTGGCATGGCTAGGAGCTTTGGAGGAAACGAGACTCAAGCAAAAATAAACACACAGAGAGTTGTTGGCACATAGTAAGCTAGATGATGCAATTGTATATAAATGAGTTCATTTTTTTTATAACATTTACTCACTTTTGGAATAATTATTTGTATTTGATATATTTGTGAAATAAATTATCTTTGTTATTTATGGTATTTTATTTTGTATTATGAGATTTTTAATGTATTATTTAATTTGAAAATTAGTAAATCTATAAATAATATTTTTCTAAACATTTAAAATTATGATACGCAAAAATGTGTGTCATCTTCATTTATGACATGGTCTTTCTTGATAGGGGCTTTCTTGATACGCATTGCATGTCATTAACAGGCGCGTCGTAAGGTTACGACACGTGAATGCGTGTCGTCTTCCTTTATGACAGGGCCTTCCTTGATACGCATTGCGTGTCGTAAACGCGCGTCGTAATTGCGCATCATAAATGAGCGTCGTAAATGCACGTCGTCTCTCTTTATGACAGGGCCTTCCTTGACGCGCATTTGCGCTCGTCTGAGTCTTTTACGATGCGCAATGAGCATCGTAAAAGGTTGTTTTTCTAGTAGTGTATGTTACAATTATTGGTTTTACGTCAAGATAAAAGCTAGTTTTAATTCTAATTATAGTTGATGTACTACCGCAAGGTGTAATCCTTATACTACCACAAGGTGTGATCCTTGTACTACCGCAAGGTGTAATCCTTGTATTACCGTGGTGTGTGATCCTTGTAATAATAATAAGAGGTATAAAACTAAGTCATACAGTCGCAGTACGGACTCATGGTAGCAAATTGTTAGAAGCATTATACTTTGTCGTTATACAAGTATTAATGTTAAGTATAACTTTCCCAAACACTTATACTCTAGGTACAAGAAACTGGTAGGTATACTACTTGTATATTAAGTAGATAATTATACCTAACACACATACTCGTATAGAATTGAAATAGATTTATACGTAGTGGTGTTACTCGTATAGAATTGAAATAAGATTTATACGTAGCAACTTTCATTTGTATGGAATTACAAACGCTTATATTCATAGTATATGAGACTTATAGGTAAACTACTTATTTGGTAAGTAAAATTTTATAGCTAGGATATATATATACTAAATGTTGGAAAGTCAAAATAATACTTTCAAAACTATATTTTTTTGAACATGGAAAATGTATTATTTTTATATGGAGTCAAAACCTGTGAACTCACCAACTTTATGTTGATGTATTTTAAAATGCATGTGTTTTCAGGATGTTGATAACTATGATACGAGAAAGGACATTACACCGCCCAGTGTTTCCGCCGACGGTCGGGGTGTGACAGAGACAATAACATGCTAACAACTTTACGACAGTTGTATGTTTTCATATACGAAATAACTATATCCCGGTTATTATAACTATCTACGTTGATACTAATATACTATCATTTAGACATAATAATAATGTATATACAATATTTAGGATGCGTTTTCCCCCGAAAAAATTAGAAAGTGGGGCCGTGAAACTCACCTTAATATCGTGTTTCGATAGAATCTAACTGAAAACGTTCAGCAGTTCGCGATCACCGGGCTCGGGGAAGCCAAACGGCTTCAGCAAACGAGAGAGAAAGAAAGCAGAAATGGTGTAATGAGACTTAGGGTCAAAATGGCTATTTATAGGCTGATTTTTGTCCCTTACATCATGAGAAATGATAGGTTCACGTCGTGAGTCATGGCAAGAGTCATCCCGTAGCTTTAACGCATATTTTCTAGCCTTGAATAGTGTCCTGTAGCGTCCTTACGTCGTGAGAAAACCTAGCTCACGTCGTGAGCTTCTGGGTTATCGTTCCGTAGACTTCTAGTTGCAAAATGAGGCAGTTTGACTCCTCACGTCGTGAGTTTTTATGCTCATGTCATGAGTCCAGTCAGATTAGGGTTTCTGACACGTGTCGTGCACTCAGACAACTATAACTTCGGAAGGTCGTAACTTTTGCATACGAACTCCGTTTTTGACGTTCTTTATATCCACGTGTAGGTATTTACGAGCACTACAACTCTCGTTTACACTTAAATAGATAATTCTAAGACTATTTTAAATTCTTTACAGAGATTTTATAGTGTTCGGTTTATCATAACTTCTTCATGCAAAGTCATATTTAGATGTTCTCTATATTTTTGGAATTGTATGGACGTATACTTTGATTTATACCATAAAGTATGTATGAAAGCTCATATTTATATTAGAATTATCATGAAATACATAGTGATTTTACTACATTACTAGTTTAACAAAATCACATTACATGATTGGTATAATCACATGTGATTGTTATTGACCTATTTTGACTAGTGTTACAGAAAGGCCTACAAAATACTTTTCGGGGAGACCCCTCCCCAAACACACAAACACACACACACACACACACTCACACACACACACACACACACACATATATATATATATATATATATATATATATATATATATATATATATATAAGGGGGAAGCTCGTAAGAACGGAAAAACATTAATGATAAAGATCCAACAAGGGCGAATACATTTAAATTCTACAAAGTACATACAAAAAATGAGAAATAAAACAACAAACATACAAAAATAAAATGAGAATTAACCACGACGAGGTTGAGTCAAAGTAGTGCCCCAAACGCCTCCGTCTGGCATGTGTTCGTCCTCTTTAGAGCACAATTGGAAAAGATCAGCAAGGCCGAGCTCACCCAAACGAAGGTAGGACGCGAAGTTTGTCTCGGAAAAAGCCCTAATGGCATCATGCGTTGCATCATTAGATTGTGCCACAACGTCCGAATCAGACGAGCCAGGGCCATTACCAACTGACCAAGCTCGTGCCACCTGCTTACCATTCTCTACACTAGTAGCCACACACGATGCCTTCATGCGGCGAATCCCAAGCGCGAACTCACTACTTTCAATAGCACGGTCCACCACCTGAACCACTCCCTTCTGGAGAACCCATGCTTAATCAGTGACGAATCCCAAGATAGTTCTCTTCGAGACCTTAGCGGTGAACTGATCGTCTCACAGTGTCAAACGCTCCGCCAGTACTTCTTTCTCCGATACCGAATTTTGGACCTGTTGGGATAAGAGATTCACCTCCCCAACCAGAGTCGCCGCCTGAGCTTCCACAACAGTCTTCTCGCTGGACAGCACGAGGTAGCACTCATCAAAATTGCGTCGCTCCTCTTCGATAAGCCAAACGTTCTCCGTGAGTTTGTCATGCTCAGATTTAACAGCAGCCAACTCCGCCAAATCAACCCCTATGTAACAAAAACGACTAGTATCCACCACCAAGTAGGGATTAACCTGAGCAGTGAAATATTAAAGATCGTTCACCATGTGAGAATAAGAAAGAGCATCGAGAGCCTCTAGGGTAGCAGGAGGAAACGCATGCCGACATCATTCATGAGCATGTCTGTGTTATGAAAAAAAGGAACCGGGTGCGAGACTCCACCTAGGGAGACATACACCAATAGCACCCAAAGTCGAAGGACCCGCTGCGAATGGGGCATCACCGGGAACGTATGGAGATATGGAGTAAGTGCCCACAATGCCTGGATCCCCCGGCTGATGCAAATCCGTTGCCTCCACCGCTTGCGGGTCGTTGGTATCAACAATCTCAATAACAACATGGGACTTAAAAAGCAAAGGATTGATGTTGCATTTCTGATGCAAATGTCAGATAATAGAACTACCACTAACATCTACCTTGAGGGCGGAATCCACAACAACAGACTGACGGTAGGGGACAAATTTACCACATTCCACACCGAATCCGCGGACCCCCGCCTCGACAAGAGGGACATCACCCTAAAAACAGGGCCAACTCTGGCTGGAGTCGGTAACATCTCCACTTGAGGGAGTTTTTGATATTATAGGTCCCTTGCAAAATCCCCCCGTAGCACTTGCTCAAGAGACAGAAACCTCTGGCTACCTACAATGGTAAACAATGCAAAACCCCTTTTTTTTCTTAGAAATAGAAACCAGATACCAAGCAAAGGAAAGCAAAAAGGGGAAGGGGGAAGGTGACACTTACCATCATTCTCCAATAAATTTGAGGCATCTTTTGACCCGACCGCCAAGTAGCACTCATTCCGATTGCTGCCAATACATAGTCCAACCAGTCTTTGCCATTGAAATAGATTCCTCTTAACGTGAGAGCCATCGACAGACAGAACGCCAACCGTTGGTGTGCCTGATCTGAAGCCATGGGCTTGCGAGGATAGCCGGCCCCAAACAAATCACTATTAACCGACAACCACCAATCCTGTTAGTACTTCTAAGGCATTTGCTGGTTAACTATAAAGGAATGTGTGTTACGACGTTTAGAGAAAGTGTGAACACCCAAATGAGTAGACCAATTGAAGAAAGACCGGATTGCTTGAAGATGGGGAAGCACCCCCAACACTCGACACCCTAATTCAAACCCAACTATCTTGTTCACAGCGTTCGGGGTACATTTGTGGATAGGAAACCATATTCTCACATAACCTCATCAAAGAAACTAGAAACTGGAAACCGAAACCCGACCTCGAAGATCACCACCAGAATACCCACTTTCCCAGCCAGTGGTTGATATATGGTAGACCCTTCCAATGTGAATTGAAACCTACGCTTGAGAATGAACTAAAATCGGAATTGAAGGGACTCTACCTCCTCGGGTGTAGGAGCAACTCCAGATCTAGCAGAGGCCATCAAGAATCAGAAAGAAAAAATATGGGTGAAAAAAGAAATGACAATAGAGGATGGGACGAAGGATTATGGGAAAAGGAATTGTATAACCGTTCCCAAAGATAGAGAACCCTTAAATAAAAAGAAAAAGGAAGAAAGAAAAGAAGAAAAAATGGAACGAAGCGACGTTGTCTCGCTAGAACGGCTCTATTACACGTCAGGGACCGTTCCCTCCAAACGTGATGTGGACGAAAGTACCCTCTAATATTAATATTTATAACCTAACAAACTTAGACTAACTATGCATTTGTAGGCAGTACACCTAGTCAGATTACAGTATAGCTTAGGTAAGTTGGGTGTCGATCACAGGGAACGGTGTTATTAATTAATCTATTCACTACTAAATTAATCTAAATATTAATAAGCTAAAAGCGGTTTTTATCTAATTTTTCAAGTTTAGATGAACTTAATTCTTTAACAAAACTCAATCAATTAAAAACACCCCTATCTAGTTCGAGTCCACTTTATCCTTATGGCTAGCCGATGATTCTGGATTATTAAGTTGGTTGTTATTATATTAGTAATTTAGGTCTAAATTTACCAATAGTTAATTTATTCAAGTATAACTATGTATGGTTACACATAATTAAACACAGAACCAATTATGTTATGAATATGCTATGTAAGATTTATCATGCAAACACAATTATGGTCATCATTTATGTTCTCTAGCACATCAAAGTTAATTACTTCAATTACCTACTCAAATTATGGTTGATCCTAGCTCTTGCAATCCAATGTTCATTAAATGACTAGGTTATCATGTTCATGTAGTTAATGGTCACTACGCTACACTTAACATGAATTAAGACAACTTAAAGTAATTACATAAGCATGCTAGGTAACAATAAATCAAACACAAGCAATTCACCAACTAAATAAATCCATATAAAATTATGCTATTCATAAGTTAGAAGCTTCATCTAGCTAGATAAGAGTAGCTAGATTCAGCTGCTCATAGTAACAAATATCACATAAACACAATTAAAATAAGAAAACATGTTCATAAGTATTTAACAAGTAGATAAATTATGAAATTTTACTCTCTTGGTGTTGAAAAACCTTTTCCAGAACCTTTCTTCTGTTGTAATTCGTCTCCTAGAACCTCTTCCTTTAGCCAAAAGTCTCCTCAATCGTAATGGAGAAGGATATATATATATATATATATATATATATATATATATATATATATATATATATATATATATATATATATATATATATATTCTAGAAAATCACTGTTCACATCGTGAGAATTAAAAATTCACGTCGTGAACTCGAAGTTATCGTGATCGCCAAGGATTCCTCTCCTCGGATGCTTATCTTCTAACTTTTCACTCTCACATCGAGAACCATCAACTGTTCAAGTTGTGAGTGCATCTTTTTTTGGGAGTTTTTCTTGTCTTTCAAGCCTTCAACCTCCAAAGTTCTATCCTTTAACGCTTTTAGTCCCTTTCTTCAAAATGCCTTCTCTTTGGCTGCAAAATATAATTTAACCTTATAAGTATCATTATTCTATGCAAATGACCAAAATATATATAAAAATGTACTTAAATAGTGCTTAAAAATATGTATAAATTTAGAAATATCAAAACGCGTGCCTAGATATACGCTAGAACTACTCAACTACCCCAAGAAAATGTTGATGTCTACTAGCCTAGGGGACTTTTTAGTGTATCCCACCAAGAATACGTCAAAAATAACGGAGCAATAATATGGTTTGAGTAAAGACCGACATAGGCCCAACATCGAACCCCTACTCTCACTCTCATTCTCATTATCCCAAACTCATTCCTTGGCGCCTAAGAATTAAAGCTGATGTCGAGACAAAATAGTACTAGCCATCTCCCCGAGTGATAGGTGTGCCACTTAGAACTTCGATTCTGGCAGCCCTGCACCAAAGGTAACAAACTACGTGCCGAGCACGATTGTCACACCCCAAACCGAATTGGTAGAAACATTTCGGGGCGGAGGATGTCATGTACAGTATCACAACAATGCATAATAGTAAACAAGAAACAACATCATCCATTGCATTAATATTATAATTCAATACAAGTGTGTTATGTGTATAGTTTATAAGACACCAAAAATGAATACTTAAAATAAAGATGAGTCTTGAAAGCTCCGTCTTCTCAAAACCTGATCATCTATACTTGTCTACTAGTGACTTGAGAATACAAGTTATTTTGAATGAGAGGATCAGCATTTAATGCTGGTGAGTTCATAAGTTTTTAGTTTCAAATGTTGTAAGTTTGAAAAAAAGTGTTTTTAGTTTCAAATGTTGTAAGTTTCAAATGTCGTGAGATTTAAAAACTCACGTCGTGAACTCGAAGTTATCGTGATCGCCAAGGATTCCTCTCCCCGGATGCTTATCTTTTAACTTTTCACTCTCACGTCGTGAACCATCAACTGTTCACGTTGTGAGTACATCCTTTTTTGGGTGTTTTTCTTGTCTTTCAATCCTTCAACCTCCAAAGTTCTATCCTTTAACGCTTTTAGTCTCTTTCTTCAAAATGCATTCTCTTTGGCTGTAAAATATAATTTAAACTTATAAATCATTATTCTATGCAAATGACCAAAATATATATAAAAATGTACTTAAATATTGCCTAAAAATATGTATAAATATGGCAATATCAAAATACCTCACACTTACTTATTTAAACTCCAACTTTCATCACTAGCATTTCATAGAACAATCCAATACGAGCTTAGCCATTATGTAACGACGTAAATTTTAAAACCAAATTTTCATTTTTGCAAACACCAAAAACATCGATTAACATTTCAAATTCCAGCGTAAACAATATTGTCACAACCGAATACATCACAAAGATCATAAAAATAGTTTTCCCCGATAATGTGTATGATCACGCCGACGCCTTCCCACGGTCCTCGCTAGTACCTAAAACACATAACACAACAACTGTAAGCATAATTACTTAGTGAGTTCCCCAAAATACAACCTACGCACATACGGCTTTCCAGGCCCTGACCTTCAGGTCCATGTGTCTCAATGGACTTCCGTCTTGACTGGGTAAACCTTCCGGTCCTACCCACGTCAACCTTACGGTCCATATTACAACGCCTTCCGGCCCAGAACATATTCGCCTTACGGCCCATAACATAATGCCTTCCGGCCCATATCAAGCATATCATACATGGCACATATAACGATTAACTTTTCACACACAATGCATATATCTCATATCATATTCGACCTTCCGGTCACACAGTCAAACCCTTCCGGGTACAGTATAGTGAGAAGACTCACCTCGTGGAAAGTCTAAGATCTCGTGTCCTTGCTATCACCGAACCCGAACGACGGCTCAACCTCGCCTAAACATAAATATATCATTTAATACACAAAGACTTCCACCAATAAAACTTTACCCCTTATCATCATTCCTCAGAGGGTAAAAGACCATTTTACCCATCCTTGACCTAAAGTCCTTATGTTGACCAAAACCATAAAAGTCAACAAAAGTCAAACCCTGAGAGTACGCGGGGCGTACTCTAGATGTACGCGGGGTGTACATCGCCAACTCCCCCTGGATCGGGGTCTCCACCCAGTACGCGGCACGTACTGGAAGTTACGCCCTGCGTAACAACCATAATCAGCCACCCTCCATATATGGTCTTAATCGGTTAAGCCATTACTACAACTTCTAGATCTGACTCTTTTAGTGTGTCTGAACCCATAAAGTCGAGACCTTTAAGCCTTGGTATGGCTGTAAAGGCTCCAACATCACATAACAACCTTTTATTCAAACTCAAGGATCTAGATCTTATGCATGGTGCAATATCCACGACCAAGTTGCCATTTTTATGAGTCTACAACTCCAATAGATCAGAAACATGAAGCATCTAAGCTTATGGAGGCCATTTGCACAAAAGTCTCCACCTTTGGGACTTAAACCCTAGAAAATGACATCTAAAGCATACAACAAGAACCAAGTGTCATGATCCGAACTTTTTACCTGAAATTGAAGCTTTAACCCTTGCAACGCTCAGATCTACACTTGAGCACCACTTCTAGCCTCTCCAACAAGTTCTTCTTCTCTTTTGCAACCTTAAAATGGCACTACAAAGCTTAGAATGCACACACAAAGGCTTAAGGACGATGGCACACACTATTTAGGGTTTCATTCTGAGGGGTGGTGGCTGAGAAGTCCAGCCACACATTCCTTTTATAGCCTCACCAAAGGAAATTAGGGTTTGGGTCTGAATGAGTTACGCCGGGCGTAACCTTGGGTACACCCCGCGTACCTGAGGGGTAACACGTCCAAATGAGGCGCGCGAGTATGCGCAGCGTACACCTTGTACGCCCAGCGTACTCGCCTACCATGGAAACCCTAAATTTTACAACTTAATCCAAAATAGAAGAATACCTAGATTCGGGCTGTTACAATTCTCCCCCACTAGAACTAGACCTCATCCCCAAAGTCTCAATACTGAAAACAACTCTGGATACTA